TTATGTAATGTGTATGTGAATTATAAATTAAAATTGTAAATATTAAATTGTATAACACTATACATATACAGAGCCACATATAATACATATTTATTATAAAACAATCTTTTTCATCGGTTCTTTATCCAATTATGCAATTATATATTATGTATAGAAGACAATTTTTGTTTTTAATTTTAATGAGATTTTAACGAAAATAATATCTATTCCTATATTAATTATAATGTTAAGATTTCTTTATTTGATCTCAAATAATTAAATTTTTTTATGAGGAAAATTCAAAGAATTTTATTTATACTAGAACAACACACGCGCGTTAAATTCGGAAAATGTGAACAATGATATTTATAGGTTTCGACGAGTTCTATAGTTCTGTAGCATAGTTCCGACTGCAAGCTGTCACAAAATATAAATTAATCCAAAAAACTTGAATTTTTGAATATATGGATAAGCTAGCTGCCGTATTAACCAATTAAAAAATGAAATGGTTTGTATCTAAATTTTTAATTTTTATTATTAATGAGGACCAATTCATAGACGTATTCCCATACTTTGAAGCCCGCTTTTTCATTTTTGAATTAGTTATTTATTATAGACATTTATGACGATAACTTGATTCCATGAATTTAAGAATTACATAATTGTCTAAAAAATAATCCTAAGTACTTTTATGGGTCAGTATTCTTTAGATAATTAATGCACGTGCCCAGGACTGTACGAGAATTATTTTAAATAAACAAAAATGCTCGAAATACGTCCAGCAATCATATATTCGAGAATACGAGTTTTTTGCGTTAAATATATATTTAGTGGCAGCCTACGGTCGGAACAATGCTACAGAACTTAAACCTCGTCGAAACCTAAAATTTCATTGTTCAATTTGGAAAACGTGAAAGGATATGCTAACTTCGTTTAAACGTTAGCCATATATTATAAATATCGCTTAAATAAACTTTAACTATTTAAACAATGAAAGGCTTGTTTCAAAAAATTTTGAAATTTTTATTATCAAACTGAGGACCAATTCATAGACATATTCCATATTTTGAAGCCAGATTTGTCATTTTTTTAAAATGGTTAAATTTTCAAAAAAGTTAATTGCACGATTACAAATGACGTCCTCAGGACTTTATTACGCATTTCACTGATCGATGCATGCATTATGCGTCTTGTGGGACTCATAGATTTTTGCAGCCCTGACCTGATTTTTGCACGAAATGACAAACATTGTGACGTGCTTAATCCGCTTTAACGAGAATATACGTGTGATTGACCACGCGAGGATAGGACTACTTTTCGTGCTCGGTCCTTGGAAGTCGGTAACGCGATTACGCGAGATCACGGTGCGATCCAATCTCGACGATGGGATTAAGGTAATCGTGAGATGATCGGAACCGCCATTGGGTATAAATGCAGCACCTAATGAACCGCTTTTATCTAGCGAACCCGTTGAAAAGCCGCGCCGTTCGTGAATGTAAATTTATTCTCCAGCGTAACACACCGTGTTGCGTGTTGCCTGAGGATAGCGCGAGCTATCGTCGGAATCTCGTTAAAATAAACACGCCATGTCCGGCCACCGAATGAAACTGTTGATAGCTCTAAAATTTTCTTCCCAAAATTTTCTCACACTTATCAAACTTAATATAAGTGTAGCCGAAACATCGTGACGCGAACAGTTAATTATTATTGCAAATTAAATTGAACAAAGAATGACATTATACGTATATATTAATCATTGTTGTTACATTTAATTTCTAATCATCTAATTGATATAATATGTAGCTATTTAATCTTATATAAAATTTATTAGCATGATAATTATTTTAGATGTACAAGGTCAGACGTGAATTGGAGATTCGCAATATCGAGTTCTGTGTAATATTATAGTATATAGAAAAAATGTACATTAAGCTTTGTTTCGTTATGTATCCTGTATGTTATAATCACAAACTCTGTCGCTCCACGAGGATAATAGACGTGAATGCATAAAAGGGCATCTGTCAAGCGCCAGCAGTGTCCCGAGTTTAAAACGAGGCCTAGAAGCGCGCATAATTTAGTTACACTGATATGCATTCATTCGCGAGAGACACTCACTACTTCTCATGGTGAAACAACGAGCATGTTCAGGATCACCATCTAGGGATAAACGACTGGGCAATGTAGTTCTCTCTCATACTCTCGGCGGTCACCAAAACCTGTCCGACACTCTGAGTTGACTTCGACATTTTTCACGGATCGTTCTCGATACCGACCACGCGCATGAACCACCAGTCCAATTCTTCAAGTGGACCTTTTCCAGGTCAGTGACGTGTAGGCTGCTGGAGAACATTGACGAAGTGCACTTTGTTGCAAAAGCACTTGCGAACGTCGCGCACGTCGCATGACGTTTTGACATCGCGATGCGAATGCAATCTCCGACGATGACATTTTTTCCACAGCGTTAGACATCCATCTCATAAAAATTGCGACATTTCATAAAGTCGGTTTAATGGTCAACGAATTTATTGTACGTAATGACACTTCTTCTTAAAAATGTGTCTAGCCTGAAAAGGAACTTGGGAATTATTATGATACTTTAATAACTATCATTTATATATATTGATCATTAGAACCAAATTAATTTTTTCTGTTAAATTTGTTATTAAAGTTAAATAAAAATTTATTTAAAAAAATATTTTCAATGCAATAAAAAGGACGTATAACTTTTAAGAATTAACTGAACGATAGCGATTGATATCGTAACGTGATTTCGAATATATTCGTACGAGCGTGGGAAATCATGACACGCGTGATGTGATCGGTTGATTAAATTATAATCTAAATCGTATGCACACATCTCGCGTGCCGGATGAGCGAGCTGATCGAAGCTGGAGAAAACGTAATTAAGTCTAATGGCGTTCGGATTTGCGTACGGTTGCGACGCGAGAAACGTAAGACGCACACGTTTGTCAGTGCACACGATGCGCAATGATCTCTATAAGGCGTCGTTCCCGATATTAATGATGGCAACGCATCCCTAGTAATGAAAACATGCGCGACTTGTCCCGCCCACGTGCGAGAGAGCCGCAACATAGTCGGACGATTCCGCACCGTAATGCGTGATTGGTCTCTCGTGGATTTGCACAACGAGGTTATTGATTGCTGCCGGATCCAGAGTTCATCATTAAGCTCTGAGAGAATCAGAGTCGTTTCAAGTTTGAGTCATGAGATATCGATAGATCTTGAGAAGCAACGAGGATATAACGAGACTTAATAAGAAGATCATTTTTTACTGAAATTTAGTGAACATTTTTTGTTTTCTAATAAAATAAATAATTTTAAACGCATAACATATACACGTACATACATTTTGAAAAATTCAGAATCAGAGAAGAATCAAGGATTATCAAAATTAATTTTCTGGGTTATAATAATAGCGTTTTAGATTGGGAAAAATTCATGGGCACTCATTGTCAGTGTCCTATAGACTCGAGTTTGCGCTTGTGTTCCAGTATATATTGTTAATAAAAAACCATATTGCAAAAAATTGTTTATTTATAATTAAAATAATTATTTAAAATTATTTTAATATGATTATCTTCTGTTAGTAACTCAATTTTATTCACTGCAGGTACGTAATTCACATATAGTAAAATATATACTACGTTGCTTTTTATCACGAATTGGTAAAATATCGATATCTGATACGTTCTTCTTATCAATTAAGAAAAATTGAAAACATAAACTCATAATCACAAGTGATATTTTATAAATTATTAAACGTTACACAAATATATAAATTATCATTTTATAAAAAATATTCATTTATATGATATAATATCATTTCATAAATATTATTATTTTTATAAATAATAATTTAAGGATAAATATTGTTAAGATATTAAAACTATTTTTATTGTTAATTAAGATTATTAAGATTAAGTTTTATTTAAAACATTATTTTTCTATATTATTTTAAATTTTACTTTAAATCCAGCATTTTTATTCAAAAATGATAAATATATTACATTTAAATAAGTGAAGAATAGTTAAAGCTCCATATAAGATATATTTAAATTTAAGTATTGACAAAAGTTAATTATTGTTTATAAATATTGCAATAAAATAATATATAATTTTGTTATCTCTTGCCTTCAATTTCTTCTTGTCAAATAAATAAATTCCATGAAATACACACACACCGCGCGCGCGATACAATAATTGTTTCGATATGTTACAAATTATTAATCATAAAATTAAATAATTATTAATAACCGCAAAGTATTATATATAATTGTATCTTTCACAATATTTGTTCCGATTGCGTTTTGCGAAATAATATTACACACGTGCGTACAGCACACAAAAAGATGAACACCAAGTGCGAGCCAGCTAATTCATTATTGTTATAAGATTTATATTGTTATAATATTTAATGTATTATTAGCAAATAAATACATCTCAAATATTATATTTCTGGAATTTATAATTAATTTTGATAATTAATTTTGATTATTATTGCATAATTTGCGTTTTGTGTTTTTTATATCACTTATTAACGACGTTGTTAAGATGAGATTAATATGATTGTGAATGTATTATAATCGATTATGAATATTAAAATTATAACTCAATTTTCTTAATTAGCAAAATAAGAGACAATAACACGCGAAGTATACAACAAACTTCATCGAGAATAAATAAACAAGAGACAATAACACGCGAAGTATATAACAAACTTCTCGAGGATGAGCTTACTCTGAAAATAATATGAAAATGTATAAAATATATAATTATTATTATGTTAGTAATTGTTATAATTTAAAGACGTAATTATATTTAATATAGATGTGTATCAAAGATCGCATATTTGTGTTTAATGTATGCATTAAAATGGATATTAAGAATATTGAAAATAATAGTATGCGGCTCGTAGAAGAGGTTATTATTCAGAAATTATCACAGGTAAAATTTAATAATTATTACTGTTGCAATTGAGTAAAGATTGAAGTTTAATTATATATATTATATTTATATTACATATTATAATTTTATGAATTGTGCAGGAACTAAAACAATTGATCTTTTACCTACTGCTTCGAGAAAAACCAACCTTGTGTGGCAAATTCGTACAGAACATCATAGTCCGATTGTGAAAGATATTAAAATAAAGAAAACGCATACTTATCTTGGTGCAGCAGAGCGATGGATGACTTTCCCTGACGATAAGTCTATCGTACGCAAATTCATAATATGCAAAAATCTTTTATTGATTTGATTAACATGTTTTATTTAATTTATTTACACATGTATTTTTGTCAATTTTATATGTAATATATTATAGAAATGTGTTAACAATTACATTAATCATATTTTATAAAAATAAAAAAAGTTTATAATGACGTAAAAATGAGCTTCATTATAAATACAAAAAAGATAATATTTAACCGCATTGCGCCAAAAATTTAATTTATTATTACTTCGATTGATATTTTCTATTTTATTCGTAATATTTACCTAACAGTTTTTATGATATTTTATTATATAGGTAACAAAACGCATATAAATTCTTGATTTCATACAATTTTCATCGGAAAATATATTTGATATTTAATAATTTCTGAATATTTATCTCTTTGAATGAAGGCTTTTCCAGCGGAGACATTTCTACCAAAAGTGCAAATGGAATATACTGTTGGATCAAAGATTCTGCCGCGTAATGTTGAAATGGAAAGAAGGCGAAGGGTGTATAAAAATCTCAAAATAGAAGATGCTTTAGAAGCGGAAGGTGTTAAATCGCATGACATGTTGCCGCCTGAGAAAATTCGTGCGTTACTTTCCTACGATAAGAAATACGATTTGTACTCCAAAGCAAATTACTTACCATTGGAATTATTTGACGATGAAGAATATGATTGTAGGTGAGAAATATGCTATTATACATATATGTATAATAGTAATTAAGTTTATTTTCTGGAGAACTAATGTTATATTTTGAATAACATTTGTTTGTCATTATATTTATATTTCTCTAAGATTTTATTAAATAAGAAAAATGGCGTGTGTTTCACGTATAAATTAAAGATATTAAAATTATAATATATATGATGCACACATTAGGATATGTAGATATTATAGAATTAAAATAAGTGATCAAGAAAAAATAAAATAAAAATACTTTGTGTAAAAAGTAATTAAATAAACGTACTAATAAAAAACGATTAATGGATATAAATGTTAAAGAATAATATATAAAATGTAATTTATTATATTTTTAATCTATTACATTATATTTGCATACGTTCGATATAATAAATTATAAAAATTTAATAAATTTAAGATGTCGAAAGAAAAGTATTTCTACATATCGTATTACTAAAATATAGATTATCAATAATGCATTTTGTCAATTTAATTAGTTAAATTTTTTTTATTTATTTAACTTAATTTTATTTATTTTAATTATTTAGTTTAAAGAGTTTATTAGGACCACATTGCAATTATTTGAAGAATATTGTGTTATATAGAATTATCAAAGATAAAATATTAATTTATAACGGATATTTTTTTGTGGTAAAAAACAAGATAACAGTTTATAAATAAGACATGCTTTATTCTATTAGCGTGATTATGCAATCTGATACATATACTCGTAATATATGTAGCAAAATAGGGTGTGTTACAGAAACTTGCAACTCAATTTCATGTTTCTAGTAAATTTGGATGGTAATAATTTCAGAAGCGTAGCTTTATACCAGAGAGTAATAATTAGGTAAATCATAGCAAATACAGGCTATTGAAATAAGTTACGAGCCGAGTATGATGCTCAAATAAATCTCTGATATTGAAGCTCTTCAAGCTTTTGTATTACAAATTATTATTATTAGCAAATATATGTATTCATACATATACAATAAAAAACTTATAATTGAATTTAAAAAATCAAAATTTATACTTATGATCTAAATAAATTGAAATTTATGTTGTATAGTTTTGTTTAAAGATTAAGATGTCTTTATCTTTTTATTCTCTCTTAGAAATATATGTGTACAAACAAGCAATGATTTAATATTAATTTATTTTTTTAAATTTTAATTATTAATATATCATATTTCATATTATTTTATTTTAGTAAAGTTTAGTATTAATACAAAATTTGTAATATTTTGCAATTTGATAGAACGACAGATGAATGGATAAATCTAGGCATTATCGATGGTGTTCGTTACCCGTTACCAGCCTCAGTATTTGTTGAGAAAATTGTACACAAAGAACGAATATTCGATCGTGATAATAGAATACTAAGTAATTTGTATAATTGGGTCCCTGCTGCCATTACGGATTACGATAATGAGCGGAAACTCTGGACTGTTCTCACTTTGGACGCTCTCAAGCGAAAATTCCTTCTACCTAGAATATACATTCGATTCTTAGGAGAGAATCCCAGACAATTTGCTCAAAGGATAGCTAATGCCATCAAACAAAGACAAATTGCTGAAAGTAGTATTAGGTTAATCTGTATATATATATTATATATCTGAATACACGCACAAAATTTAAAGATTTCGATATAAATATAAATCTTTTTTACATATTAAAAAATTAATCAATTTTTAATATTAATATGATTACTTAGCATTATCTTACAACATAAAGTTTCTTGAATTTTAGTTATATATTATAATATAGTTAATCTAAAATATTTGAAAATTTTTTAATCATTTTGAAGACTTTTAAACATTAAAAAGACTTTAGAATATATAATTTTTTAAAAATATTTTAATGTAATATTTAATTTTAAGATTATAATAGAGATTTTCACGTAATATTTAAATGATATAATTGTTTACATAGATATCACTTTTATTTGGATTGTATGCTAATAGATGGTATGCCAACACTCGATGAAAAACAACAAGATTTTATAATCCTATCAGCTACACGACAAGGTTCCATGAAATACGAATCGAAATATCTTTCCAGCGTAGGTATAATACATAATTGTATTGATATTACTTGCTTTCTCTAATTATTAATATCATGAAACTTTAATGTAACATTTAGTTAATAGACGAAATTATTTTGGAATATCGTCGCGTTATGTGCGACCTTACGTGGAGACCTCTCATAGAGAAACAACCGGGAATGTTTAATTTTATTATGTGGAGAGAAATCAATGACATTTGCGAATTTGCTTCATCGAAGATTTACACAGAAATGGAAGATTTTACAGTATTTATAGAGATCTTTCTAGTATATTCGTGTTTGACTTACATTTAAATTAATCAAGAATTTTATTTTAAATATTATTGTTACATAGAAAACGAAAAATTTTGTGCATTGGGTAATACTATACGTTGTGCCGGAAGTACATGAAGCTATGCAGTGCGTAGCCACCGAATGTATTCACGTGTTGAATCTGTGTCTTTTTATCCCGAATTATGGAAAATCTATATATCTATCAGAATTTGAATCGCAACAGAATCAAGAAACTGCCACAGTGATAAAGTATTTAAAAGAAACGTGGGTGGAAAAGATTGTTCAGTCTGTCAGATTATGTTTAAGGGATATCGGAAAAGGATGGTTTGATCTTAAACAACGAAGGCACGATGTATACAATGTAATGAAATTGAAACGATTTATGGATCTTATTGCATATCGAATGCAGGTATTGTTTATCAAAAAAATCGTAGCAAAATCTTAAAAAAATAATTGTATTTTATATAAGAATGTTTTATTATATAAATAATATATTATACAATAAAATAAGTATTTGCATGATTACAATTTAAAGTAATATATGTTGAATGAGGAAAAATATTAAAATAGAGATTATTAATTATGTTTAAAATATTTGCAAATAAAAGTATTAAATTTATAAAATATATTATTTATATAATAAAACATATTGAATATAATGTAAAATATCAATTTACAAGTTTAATTGAACGTAATTAATAAGATTCAGAATTTTATAATTAATATGTGATTATAATATTTTATTTGTTACCGTAGAATGCGCTTCGGAATTTGGTAGAGAAATCAATTGCTCTGTATTTAGAAATGTTGGAAACTCCAGCGCTTTGTGCATTAAATATTGACGAAAATTTTACATGGGGAGATGATCTCGTAAACACGCAATTTAAACCTCCAGTGAATCCTGTTTTCAATATTGATCTCATGATGAATGATAAAACTGCTTATTATTTAACGGATCTTGAATCATTTGAGGTATGGATATTGAATTACTTTTTAACGTGTTAATTATAAATTAGATTATTTGTTCCCAAATTATTTTAAATTAAAAAATATTTTTAAAAATCATACATAAACATATTTAAAGTTATTACATATATATTTGCTATAAAATAATTAATTAATTTTATTGTAAATTTTATTGTACTCGTAAATGGTGCATAAGAAGCAAACATTCGACTAATTAGTTTGTCAATTTTTAGGATCGTATCGTAGTTCTGCTTGACAATTCTCTGAGCCAATGTCATCAAATTAAGCAAGTTCACCCTTTCTTGCTATCCTTCCTAAAGTTTCCCAAAGATTTGTATCTTAGTTCAGTCGGCTTACTGGAGAAACAAGTTTGCGAAGTTCGTGATCGTTTGAGAGCCGCTTATCGGAAGACCGTAATATCCCTCAAGGCGTACGCGAACGAATACCAGCAGTATTTAGGAATTTACAAATTGAACATTGAAGAATATGTAGAGTGAGTTTAAATCGCTTCGAGCGATACAAAGTCATTTAATCAATTTCTCGGATTGATAAAGTCGATTACAAAATCTGTAAACACCAATTATTTTTTTCGAACCATTGTCTTTTACAGAGATTTCAAAAAAGTGGATCATACCGCTGCGGAAATCAAAGATGAAATATCCTTTCACTTCAAGATGAAATCGATTCTCGAATTGACATTGCCGAAGGACATTGTCATAGGACCCTTCCGCGTGAATGTCCGACCTCTTAAACAATTCTTGATACAAAAACGACAGAACTGTTGCACACAATTGCTCGTTATGTTCACTGAGAGTCTAAGGACGCAAATCGATATCGTTTTATCCGATTATATGCAGATTAGAACGAGGCTAAAGGCAGTACCACGCAATATTAAGCACTTATTCGAGGAACAAGATTGGATGGAAACCATACCATTAACGGTGAGAGCTCTGGATAAAATTGTACAGAAGCTGAAACACGAATATGATATTCTCGATCACTTCTGGTGGAATCTGTCAGATCAAGACTTCGAAGCTAAATGGCAAGCTATTAGTTTTCCTCGGCAAATACTGTTATATGTAAGAATCAATTGCTTCTTATCGTATAAAAACGTTTGATTAATCAAAATATTAGATAAGCAAAATTAAAAAAAATAAAATCTGATATCTTTGATATCTTTCAATATTTGCTAAAGAATAAAGTGTCAAATGTTATCATTATAACAAAGAGAAAAAGAGACAGAGTACTATTTAAAATTGAAATTTACAAAAAATAAAATCTGATATCTTTGATATCTTTAAATATTTGCTAAAGATTAAAATATCGAATGTTATTATTATAACAAAGAGAAAAAAAGACAGAGTACTATTTAAAATTAAAAGAGAAGGTTTAAAACTCTATATAAAAAAATAAAAAAATTATAGAATAAGTAATTCGTCAGTATGAGATGAATAACCACTTTTTAAAAAATATATATAAATTATTAATTATAATAAATAATTTTTGACTAAAAAATCTATATATAGTTATATAAATATTATGATTAAAAACTATCTTTTTAATCACATATTACTAAAATCATATTATACATGCATCTCCAAGAAACACATTTTTCCAATATATTCATTTTTTCATATATTATACATAGATAGAAGAGACTAGAAAACGTTTCGCGAATGAATATGAAAAATTTTATAAGGCGCAGATACAGGACGAAATCCTGCTGTCAGAGAAAATCAACACACTCGTGGGAAATGTTTCAAATGTAGCACTGCAAACGGATATCAACAGAATACTTGAAATAGCCGTAGAAGTAAAGAGAATCTGGAAAATGATAAATGATTGCCAAGAATCGAGTTTATTATTAAACGAGCGACAGAAATTGTTTGGCATGAACGTCGTGCCGTTCGAACAATTAAACAAATTGATGAGGGAATTTGAACCGTATCAGATTTTATGGATAACTGCATCCGGTAATTAGATGAAAAAAATGTTTATTACGCAAAAATTAGAAATAGGAAATTTTTCTATATATAAAATAATAAGATTTGAATTTTATAACTAAATATTGTAGATCTTTGTATTGTGTATTATTTATATGGCACGAAATTTTTTCATCAAACTTTTTATATTTATAATTATTTTTGTTTTTATTGTCGTATTTTATTTCCATTGTATTTCCTATTAATGTTATTTATAATTTTATTCTATTTCATTTATTATCTTTATTTTATTTTACAGAATTAATCTATCGTTAAATATCGTTAATTTATAAGCAATTCTTTTTATGTCATTAATATATCATCTTCAATATTAGTTATAATCAATTAAAAATTTGCAATTCTTACATTTAATATGTAGATTGGTTAAAATGGCAAGAAGTGTGGATGGAGAATCCTCTAATAAACATTGATGCTAATCAAATTGAAAGCATAGTTGCTGATATGCACAAAGCTATGTCGCGTTGTGTGAAAATATTTCAAGAGAATCCAAGTAGGTCAATATAATTTGTTTAAAATTCATTGAATTTTGAATCTATTATAGTTGCTCCTAGAGAAATTGATACTGCGATGTAAATTTGATGTATTCTTCGCAAATTGTAGAAATAGTTGCTATAGTGCTCACTATAAGAGATCAAATTGAAGCATTTAAGCCTTGCATCGGTATAATACAGGCTTTGCGAGATCCAGGAATGAAAGCTCGACATTTTGAAGAACTTTCTAAACAAACTGGCATACAAATGGAACTTACACCAACTTTAACTTTTAAGAGCTTACTCTTCCTCGGTGCGATGAAATATGAAGATACTGTGAAAACCGTCGCAGAAGCTGCAGCAAAGGAATATTTGATAGAAGATGAACTGGATAAAATGATGACTAAATGGAAAACAATCACAATGGACATTCTCTCTTATAAAAATACTGGTACGCAAAAGAAACAATTTCTTTCTCGTATATTTTTGAATATTATATTTTAATTCTGAAGTATAAAGTTTTACATTTATTCTATCTTTCGTGCATTTTATTATATAATAAAAATTGTAGAATATATATAATTTAACAAATAAAAAAATTAATACTTGGAATTTGACAAACACTAAAATATTAAATTTTACGTTTAGTTTTTAATGCATTTCAATATTACAGGAACAAATTATTAGAAAATATGTATTTTTAATAAATACAATATTTTAACTAATATTTTTAACATCTATTAATCAATTAAAAACTTAATTTACTAAAATTTTTTATTTAATGATTTAAACAGATAAAATCAATTAACTGAAAAACTAAAAATATGTTATATTATATATTTTTACTTTTTAAAAAGTTTAAATATTAACATTAACCCATTAATAAATAACTAATTTAATTAATTCTTGTAACATAAATAACACATTGCTTTATTTATAATGTAAATAAATATCTTAACGCTTTTATATGTATATATAGGTACATATATAATGAAGATTTCCGATGAGATTATCTCTCATTTGGACGATGATATGCTTAATACTCAGCATCTTAGTTTTAGTCCTTTCAAAGCTGCCTTTGAGAACCAAATCAATGAATGGGAAGCTAAATTGAAATTAATTCAGGAAGTGATCACGCTGTGGACAGAAGTACAAAAGTAACAATTATATCTCAACTTTTATTTGTTGCTCTCAAAGAGATATATGTATATGTACTATTGATTCAATAGAATATATGTGCAGGCAATGGATGTATTTAGAGCCGATATTTTCGTCAGAAGATATAAATCGGCAATTACCCGTAGAAACGAAAAAATTCAATACAATGGAGCGCAACTGGAGACGAATTATGAAAAATGCATACGACTGCTCATATGTACGTAAAATTAATTTAACGTCATGCTTCATATACATTTCTTTATCCGTCGAATTCCAAAGAAATAAAATTTTCTATAAGAATCTTTTATCATCAAATATCTACGCTTTCATTAGACTCGCGCGAGACTCTATACCCCATATATCTGTCACGCTGCGCGGTTCGCGCGAAACTGATTCTCGTACGGGGTATCGCGAGCGCGGGACCGATGGTCACATGACCAGTGGTCACATGACTAGAGGGACCACGGTCACGTGATCTTGGCTTCGCGCTCGCGATACCTCGCACGCGATTCAGTTTCGCGCGAGCCGCGCAACGTGATGGATATGTAGAGTATAGAGTCTCGCGCGAGTTTAATGAAAGCGTAAATATTTAATCACAAACGATTCTATTATCTATATCTATTCTATATTCTATTGAATCAATAGTACATATATATATATCTCTTTGATAGGAACAAATGGAAGTTTATAATTGTTACTTTTGTAGAAAATTGTATTTCTTTGTTTGTATTTTCTATTAAAGATTTAAATATTGAATTTTTATGAATCGCGTAATTAATAAATATATATTTCTATGCATGCATTGCAATAATAATTTTATGAAAGCGTTGTAATTTAAGGTTTTATTATCAAAGAATAATATAATTTCTCTTTGCGTACGTAATTATATTTGATTAAACTAAACAAAATGAGAAAAATATATAAAAAGATGTATCTATACAAAATAGTTCTCAAATAATATAATAGAAATTCGGCAAATTAAAATTATGTACATAATAGAAATTCAATAAATTAAAATTATGTATACATATAATAAAAATTCGGTGAATTAAAATTATGGTCATAGTATCAAGCAACTGTCATTGAAGATTAACAATTTGCCAGTTGTACAATAAACAATAAAAATGATATCAAAAGAGCACGCGAAACGCGCGCTTGTGTCGTCTATTTCTACATAAAATACTATTAAAATGAAGATAACACTTCGTGAAAAAAATACATTTAATATTAAATTGAATTTATTTTACATTGAAAGAAACACTTCTTAAACAGATTAATTTAATATAAATCTTGTTAATTTTGATTGAACTGTTTTGAAAAGCTGTTAAACAATTATATACATATAGTATCACATTGAATTTATCCGTCGTTTTGTTTGTGTTTTACAGCAACTTTGATGTACTATTATTGATTGGAATAACTAAAAGACCGTAACTAATTTTTATGCAAATAATTAAATATTATCATATTGATTTTATTCGTTACATAATTTACATTTTGTAATAATTTTGTATTTACTTTTTAATGTTAATAAAACTAGTACATAAACTTTATATTTATACTTTTTAAAATAAACATAAAGAATATATTCGCAGCATTTTTATAATTATTTTTGTTATTTTATTTCTAATGCACATACAATTATTTTTATAAATAATTTTTGTAATACTTAAATATTATGCAAAAAAATAATATAATATTCTTTAAATGTTATTCTGTAATATAACAAAAATTTAAATATATAAAGATTCTGATGACATAAATATATAAAAATATATATAAAAATATATATAAAAATTTTATAATATTTTATACTAATAAACAATTTCAATGCAGATAATTATTACCTGCGCTGACAAGATTTTATTGGAGAGTCTGAAGGAATGCTTGTTGATTCTTGAAATCGTCCAGAAGGGTCTATCAGATTATCTAGAGACAAAGCGAATGATCTTCCCACGCTTCTTCTTCTTAAGCGATGATGAACTCTTAGAGATAATTATTCAATCTAAGAACGTCCAGGCGATACAGCCATATCTGAAAAATGTTTCGAAAATATAAGCAAATTGAGATTTGAGCACGATCTCAGGGTAACAAAAATGTATTCCGCCGAATACGAAGAGGTCGCGTTACAACCATCGATTTATCCCGAGGGAAATGTAGAAAATTGGTTGGGAGAGGTCGAGGACACAATGCGTAATACTCTGCGAAAACTCATCGCCGAAGCCCTTGAAACAGTAGAAACGACATCGCGAGAACAATGGATGTACATGTGGCCGGGTCAGGTAGTTCTTTGTGGAAGTCAAACGTATTGGACTGCCCATGTAGAAGAGGGCATTAGAAGTAATACTCTGCCGGATTATCATAATCTGATGTTGTTACACGTACGTGATACGTAAATATTATATATTGCTTTCCTATAAGATAAGTGAGGCTAAATATAAGATCTAAAAATATATCTTCTGAATGAATTAAATAATATCTTTATCCAAGTTAATTTGATTTTTATTATGTCATATCTTGATTCTGTTTTAGAATTCTGAGAATGGCTGACGTTGATATAATTTAGTAACTATGTAATTAATTAATAGTTAAATGTATAAAAGAATTGTACATAATCCCCTTTATTTCATATTTTTCAACTTGCTATTTTCGATTCTCAATCTCATTCCTATCATTCTCCCTATTATTTTGTGTAGGCGGAATAATCGAATATTCTGCTGTCGCGATTAATTATCGATTCTCTTTTGTTCTTTTCGCACACTTTTGTATGATATGGATTTTCGTAAGCTGGCGCACAATCCATTTTGTGAATTCAATTTTTAGAAATATGAAATCGATAATTAGTAAATCGCTCCAAAAATATCGTCGTAAGCTAACAAGAACAATAAGTCGATTGATATTAAGGTCTCATTAAAATACAAGACTACAAATTATTTTTGTTTGCATTTTTTAAAATAAAATAAAGTAATTCATTAACTAAATGTATCTCTTGATTTACACATTTTTCTCACATTTTTGCATGTTCTCTTATATGATAAAAAATTTACTAATTATTCAGAGTAAGGAGGAATTATTAACACAATTCTCTCATACTTTACCACATTGCATGAAATATGCATTGCAAAATCCCTTACTTAAATAGAGATACTCGTATAAGTATGTATAGTAAACATACATGTCTATGCATATATATATATATTTACATTTTCGTTTATAATTAAAAAATTTGATTTAGATAAACATTGTAGAATATATATAATGTACAAATTTAGAACAATACATATATACGTTCACCTTTTTATTTAATTTAATAATATTTTACAGCTGGAGATGTTACTGATATTAATACGCGGTTCGCAAACCGAGATTCAACGATTGATGCTGGAAGCTGTGATCACAATTGAGATTCACGCCAAAGATGTTTTGTATAAATTGATTCAACAAAAGATAACTAATGTCAATGATTTTGAATGGATCTCTCAATTAAGATATTACTGGGTTGATAATAAGGATTTAAAGATTCGCGCAATTAATGCTGAATTTCCATACGAGTGAGTTTTCGCTATATATTTGCGAACTTTTACGATTAACTTTTACTATTAACTAGTTTACTATTGATTAAAATTAAAACAAAAAAGTAAAATTCTGATATATTAATCATTATATTCGACAAAAAAAACTTAAATTAAAAATTAAAAAATTTAATGCAAGGTAGTTCGATTACTTATAAAATTTAAGAAAATGAGAAGTTCAAAAAAATATATTAAGTTTTTATTAATTCTTTTGATATAAAGTTTGTAAAAAACTTTAGTGCAATGAATTCTTTATTACATGCAGCTAATAAAATTTTCAAGTATTTTAGAAGCGTTTACTTTAAAATATCTCATTTCTGTATTCTGAAACAAAGGAAACTCATTTTCATAAATGTTCTTTGATCCTACAAAACTGATATGACAATTTATCTAATTCCACTTATTCTTAAACTTAATTGTAAGGTTATTTTGGAGCTTATTTTAGATACAAGAGAAGCGTTGTGGGAAGCCTTTGTAGAAATTTCTTAAGAAATCCTCTACTAAATAAGATACAAATTTCCTCTCTCTTGAAGTCATAACTCTATTGAAATTCTATATTAGATATATAAAACATATTCTTATGCTAATATACGCTTCTTAAATCGTTATTATTGACAAATTTCAATACATAAGGAAATGAGAATCTTGTTCAAATTAGAATCTTTCTTGAGTGAGAATATAAATTTAAATTCTTACAACTTTGTTTTATACTTATTTATAACTTTATTAAAGTTATATAATAATTCATACTAATAACGAGCATTTGCATACTTTATTTTTAATTTAAATTAAAAAGACAATATTTTATCATTCGAAAAATATATTTTAAGAATGTACCTAACTATCTGTAATAATTTTTACAGCAGCTCTTTGCTGCGATTATCTTTTTAAAGATGTACTAATCGACGTTTTCTACTTCGTATGGTTGTTACATGATTGTCCGTTGGCTTTGATTAACTTAAATTTCGATAATTTTGATTGCGATAGAAATATAATATCTTTTTCCAATAAAATAAATTATTGAAGTAGAACAATTATTGTTACTGTTGTAGTCTTTTTCTGTCTTGCAGATATGAATATTTAGGTAACAATGGTAGACTAGTAATTACACCGTTGACCGATCGTTGCTGTCTTACTTTTACCAGTGCGTTGCATCTGAAATTCGGCGGTGCACCGACTGGTCCAGCAGGAACTGGTAAAACGGAAACTACGAAAGACCTCGCGAAAGCATTCGCGATTCAATGCGTGGTTTTTAATTGCTCTGATCAGCTTAACTTTAAATCTATGGGCAAATTCTTCAAAGGCCTCGCCAGGTAGGCTATAAATATTTTATATAAATTGGCTATTTTTTTGCAAGTTATATTATATGATGCAAATTTACGTAAGTCAATTAGAATTTTAATTAATAATTAAGATGCCTTCACGATATTCGCAGCGCTGGTGCATGGGCCTGTTTCGATGAATTCAATCGAATCGATATCGAGGTTTTGTCCGTCGTAGCGCAACAAATTATGACTATTCAACAGGCGCAACACGAACGAGCGAGCGTGTAAGTAAGCAGCATCTGCAAATAAAAATTTAATGTAGAGTGAATTGAAACAATGAAGATCATTATACCGCAAAAATTTTAACAATTTCTTTTTAAAAGAATATAAAAGCGTCATTTAATTTTCAAATTATTTAATATCAAGAAAATGTCAAGCAACATTGACATTCAATTATTGAATTCTATTTAATACTAAAAATAAAACAAATGGTATAAATTTAAAATTTATATTGCAGAAATAATTCTAAAATTGTTAAAAGTTATACCTTGCGCATTTACTAATATTCGTGTAATATATGTATATATGTGTGATATGTTAAATTTAATTCATGTTATGTAAATTTGGTAAATTAAATAATCTGTAGCATTTCAACACTATAATTAATCTTATTACGTAAATGTATTCATAATTTGGTTACATAAATTTGTATTACTTAATACTTAGTCAAAATTATTTCTTATATTATAATTTACAGTTTGATACATATGATAAATACTGTTATTAAATAATGAAAAAATAATAAAAATCTATTACTACCATAGAATTTTATAATAAAGAAATGAGAATTATAAAATAATTGTATATATTTTTAAATATAATAATTATTAATATTAAAAAGTATAACAGTGCCACATTTATTTAACTGTTATAATATCTCTAATTAAATTTTTAAATGTAAAATTTGCATATTCGCAGATTTATTTTTGAAGGGTATGAACTCACCTTAAAGCCGTCCTGCGCTGTGTTTATTACTATGAATCCTGGCTATGCAGGTCAAACAGAATTACCTGATAATTTAAAGGCACTTTTCCGGCCGGTGGCTATGATGGTGCCAAATTATGCTCTTATTGCTGAAATATCTTTGTTCTCGTACGGCTTTATGGATGCGAAAAACCTTGCCAGAAAGATCACGACAACTTTTAAACTAAGCTCGGAGCAACTAAGCACACAAGTATTTTTATTTTTCTGTCTTCATTTTTTCCTTTTTCAGAAAAGCTCAATTTATAAAAAATTTCCATTCCAATAATACAATTAATATTACTATTTTTAAAGAAATCGCGAATACACAGTAAGACATACAAAAATATATTACAATACTTTTATTAAGAGATAATGGATTATTAGATATAGTCAAGACAATTCATATAATTAAATGTTAAAATAATATAATACTATGTATAAACTTATCATACCTTCAAAAATATCTTTATCATTTGACACTTAATATATAGTCATATCAATTAATTATGGTTTAAAATTAATTATTTTTGCGTGATTTTATTTAATTGTATCTAAAATGTTATTTTAATAGGATCATTACGACTTCGGCATGCGCGCAGTGAAGACTGTTATTGTAGTTGCTGGCAATTTGAAAAAAGAGCAGAAAGATCTTGAAGAGAACCAAATCTGCTTCCGGGCTTTGAGAAATGTAAATGTTCCCAAGTTCTTGAAGGACGATTTAAAGTTGTTTAATGGTAAATGAGCTTAAATCTCTCTTAAAATTTTAAGAAACTTTATTAATTTTTTTTAAGTAATATAACTGTCAAGTTGAACAAAATTTATTTACTTTTAAATTACATAATATCTATAATCAACCATTATGATATATCATATTTTATATCTTATCTAGAAACATTTACGAGATATTATATTTCTAGAGAAAAGTATATTATTTCGTAAGAATACATTAATATATAAAAATGTATAAAAATAGATATTGCGTGAATAAATAAAATATTTTATGCTTATTTTATTATATATATATATATATATATATATATATTTAAAATTTAAGATAAAAACTAAGATTTTATTTTATTTTAAATTTTTTGCATGAATTATTATTATCTTTATATATGAATAATATATATTTATATTATATAGAGATAATATATTTTCTTCTGTTTCTTCCTATTACATTTTATTAATTTTGCTTTCTACGAATGTAATCTATTAAATAAATAAATAATTTTATCTATAGACATCCACAAAGAAGAAAAAATAAACTACTCATTATTCTTCTTTTTTTCCAGGTATTGTGTCGGACCTCTTTCCTGGGCTCATTGAGAAACCAGTGGATTATGGAATCCTAGAAGCAGGCATTCGTAAATCTATCAGACAAATGGATTTAGAAGACGTCAATGGTAAGTTCAGTCTTTCATTTAGAATTTAAGTTTTCTCTCATTCGAGTGTATGTACTAGAATATATTGTTCTGTCTTTTGATATGCATCTAACAATAAGCAAAATTATTTTTACAACTATTTGAAATGTTTTATGTATACGATATAATAGAGTAGAGAAAAAAATCAAATATATTACAAAAAAGTATATAAAAATTTCAAATTTATTCTATAAAGTGCAATAAAAAAACAATATTTTACATTTAGAAAGAGAAAAGTTTTAATTTTTTAAATTTATTTATATATGGTTTAATTCTATTGACAGAAAAATAGTTTATGTCTACGTTTTTTTTCTGTTAAATTTTTTCCGAATATAGATGTTTTCTTTTACGAATTATAAATTACAGTTTTCTAAAGAGAATAAAAATATTGACAAAATGCTAACGAATAAAATAAATAATTAACTTACATACTTACAAATTTTCGCAGTTGTTTCGTGACCTGCATTCGTGATCTAATGAGTAACATAGCAAACATAACAAAGTAGTTGTTGAAATCAATAAATATATCTTACTGATTTTGTTAAATTAAAAGACGAATATATATATATATATATATATATATATATATTCAATAACAAATATATAGGTATATTAAATATATAGATAAATTAATTAAGCTTCTAATGCCGGAAATTTTTTTTAATGAAAAATAAATGTTTAATGTAGTTTGCACGTAAAAAATTCTACTTTTAATACACAGCTTATTAGAATAGAAATAGCTCTCTTAATGCTCTTTCTCTTATACGAAAGATTATTTTTCTCATTTTTCAACACTCGCGGAAGGAATTAAAACATTTTAATAAGCGATAATAATAATAATTTATTTATGTTTCTAATAATATGTACATTTATAAACTTTCTAATAAATATATGTTTATTAAATCGTTAATTGCAAAAATTAATAATGTTGAATATTCATACGGAAAATATCTTAATAAGATAGATGACATGACTCATTACGCGAGCATTAATATGCAGAAACTAATGAGAAAATTATAACCCAAAATCATGATTATAGCAAAAACCTTCTCTCCTAGACTATGGAATAATAAAGCCATCAATTTGCCAATAACAGTTATGCATATTACTATTATATTGTAAGATTAATGTTGTAATTATATATATATATATATATATATATATATATATATATATATACACACACACACACACACACAAATACACACACACACACACATGTATATACGTACATACGTATAAAATAAATACTTTATTTTTTCTTGTTTTTTATCGATTTTATCATTTATAAATAGATTTCAAATTTCAAACAATGAGTTTCAAATTAATATTAGTCAATTTAATATCTGATTAAAATGATAAATAAAATAGCTTATTATATATTCATAGCATATCAATTTTAATTAATAAATAATTCAGTTGCTGTGTTTTGCATTGCACATATTAAATAAAATTTCGTATATATTTTCACTACACTGCTTGTGGATTATATCTTTTTGTTTTATCGGTTTTATTGCGTATTAACTCAATAATAAAATAATGTTTAATTACAAAAAAAAACATTTTATTCAATTACTTAAAAAAAATGTATTAATAATATATTGTCAACATTTTATAAAGCAATTGTTATCAGTTCAAAGACGCTATTATCATGCATTATAAAAGCATACATAAAAAAAGTACATAAAAGCAATAATTTTTTTTTAAACTAAGAATAAATTTCTGTTCGTATGGCAATTATAAATTTTATATGTAAACATTTCATTAAGAGAGAGAAAAAGAAAGAAAGAGAGAGCGTGTTTGTAATAACCTCGCGAAATCACGGAAAACACTGTAATAAATGTCGTAGCTTACGAAACGTATCTTTGCACTAAAGCATTCAATTTAGAAGCCCGCGCTAAATGTGGCGACGCAAACTGGATCGATACCGGCATTCGGGGCTTCCACAATTCGTCTGTGACTATGCTTCGTAGAATCTATTAAAGGTACAATCCTGATTACAGACTTCGTGAGGAAGGTAATTCAACTGTATGAAACTACGTTGGTGCACAGCGGATTAATGTTGGTCGGTCCAACCGGCTCCGGGAAGACCAAGGTAAGTGTCAAGCAATTTGTGAAATCAACATTTTCCTGTTATTCTAGTAGATTTATAAATGAAAACTCCCCTTCAATTTCTATACTAACATTCAATGATACATACAATGTTTCAATCGTGGTTTCAATTTCTATACTAACATTAATGTTTCTGCGCACTCGAAGAAGCTTTATTTCAAGCTTTATTTGAGCAACATTAATCTCTATCGCGATGTTAGTTTGATCTAATAAAACTTCACTATTTCAAAGTATCTCACGAAAATTTATAAGTGATCAAAGAAATTTTTCAAATTATCTACAAGAACAGGATTTCTTCATAAAAATTTTTCTATTACAATAGTTTGACTACAAATTGTTTGAAAATTATGCAAGACATTTTAGAATTTTATATTTGATAAAAGATTTAAGCTTCTTAAATTATCTCAAATATATTTTCTTTAAGTAATATATAATATTTTTAACAGAAATCTTATTAAATATTGTTTCTTATGTTTTATAAAATATTGGAGTAATTTTAAAAAGTTCAGTTTTAGCTTAACGGTTTAACTTTGTCGTTTTTAAATAGTCATATAATTTTAATACATTTTGTATAATAGCTATAAAAATAACGCAGAAAATTTATAAAAGAGAAAGAAAAAGATATTTAACAGAAATATATTATTATTGTAAAAAAGTATGATGTCGCAAAAAACATAATTATATTCCAATAGAAAAACAAATAATTTTTTTAACGAAGTATTACAATAAATAGATTTACGACAAAAGTGAATATAAAGCATTTAGATTCTCTTTGATGTACATATATTCGTTTGAGATCTTTTAATATAAATATGTACATATGTATGTAAAATGGGTAAATAAGATATAAATAATTCTTTGCGCTTGTGGCTAAGTGGCATATATCATTCATCATGAATTGGAGAGATCAAATAATATTTATAGTTCTTCACATCTATTAATCCTGTTTAATTAGAAATTTTGCAATTACTTTTTTCATAATAAACACGAAAAATACGACAATTTTTGTTATTATTTTGTATATTTCAACTAAAAAACTTGATTATTTATAATGTAAAATGCCGAAGAATTTATTAATACTGTCAGAAAGAATATTTTTATCAGCTCTCAATATTAAGAATATAAATATGTTTTTTTTTTTTTTAAATCGGCCAACAGAGCCAAAGCACGAAATATTAATTATTCGGAATTGTATCTCTTGGTTTGAGATCACTAAGTTCCATATATAAATTAATCTCGAAATCCTCCATATGTAATAAAATGTATGAAATTCTCCATATGGTAAGTTTCGAGATTAATTTATATATGGAACTTAGTGATCTCAAACCAAGAGATACAGTTCCGAATAATTAATTTTTCGTGCTTTGGCTTTGTTGGCCGATTAAAAAAAAAAGAAACATATTTAATAATACTGACTGATGATGTATCCGATCTCGCAATACGGACTCTGATCAATCAGAATTGATTATACGAATCAAGTGAAATGGAGAAATAATCGAACTGTTTTAATAAGATTAATATGCTTGATTATACACACACGGCTTACATATATTGTTTTCATATATGTATTTCTGCAGAACATATGTTCAGAATATGTATAAAGGATCAAGCTAACAAAATCTACATACATTTTTTTACTGCCATGAGAAAATATCCAATATTCACACATCACGCGTAAGATATATTTTTATTTTTTACAGAAAGTAAAAAATAATCGATATATACATATATAAAATAGTTTATCTTTTCAAAACAGAACGTCATATAAATTTATCAATCAATGTCTGAAGTAGAAAACATGAATTATAATAAAGTTATTCTCAAGTCTTTTTACTCAAAAAATAACATTAATTTATTTACATATAACGTATAAATAAATAATTTTATTATTAAGGATATAGACAAATATATATATGTATAATGTATATATACATATAAATGTTACATAATATAATTATAGTACATATTTATTTAATCACTTGTCATATTCATTTATATTAGTAACAGCATAAAAGTACAGGAAACGCGCGTGTAAATATAAGTATCGAACTGTAAATATAATTTTATATAATTTTACAGTAGATTAATATAGTAGATAAAAATACACATTTGATTTTCGTACATTGATTTAATTCAACACGTACTTAAAGATCTATTATACGGAAGCAATTATTATTTACAACGTACCACCTTTCTAATGAATTTACATAAATGAAATATGTTTACAGATAATACACATGATATGACACACTTGAAATAATCGTATAGTAATGAAATGCATAGCCACGTAGTGAGACTCTCTTTGCTTGATAACTTAAACAAGAAGTAACGATATCTATATCGTTCAGATATATAATATATGAATATATTTAAAATATATATATGTATATATTTTTTCTTTAAACAATACATTATACATTATATACAGGAATGCGCACCGTAATGATAATATATATGTATATACTTTATAGATTTTTGTTTCTTTAATATCTTAAACTGTTTTTTTATACTTAATATATATGTTTTATAAATGTGATAGATATGAAAGAAGAGTGCAGTTAAGACATATCTTTATAAAAAAATATAGAAATTTATAGAACAGATTTATATGTATATATTTATACATTTACCTTTTTATATTTCTCTCTTTTGTTGGGCATATAATTTATTGATATAATGTACACGAGAATGATATTTAATGACTTTTAAAGTCAATCTTAATATCGATGATATAATGTAATGATACAGAATCAATTTGCGCAGTTCAATTTTTTAGAATCACTTTTATTAGACCTTTATTATCAATGATGTTGGGTTTAATGTTCGGTATGTATGCTCTTAAAAACGAAAATAATTTATATAATAAGATATTAGGAAATATACTATATTGTTATTACTAACTATTATTAATAACAATATAAATTACCTAATCCATATAAATATAAATACTTAAGTATTAATAACTAAAAATGCTTTTAGATATCACAAAAAATAACAAGATTGCAACTAATAGTTTTATAAAAATGCAATATATAAAACATTTAACGTATAAACAAGACAACTTAAAAAGCAGTCAAACAACTAATTCATATATGTATAACGTTACATTCAGGACTATTCATCACTTTCATAATTTACTTTTGCACACGCATTTTTTTATTTCAAATTATATATAGTCGATTGAAAATGTCTTTTTGGTATATAATTAATTCGAAATGATAAATCTGATCGAAACAGAGTTCATTATTTTACGTGTACAAGATAAGCTATTTTATTATATTTTTATTAGTCGACACGTGCACGAGTTTTGTTCATAGATATGCAAAAAGAAAAATATATATACGCGATCAGATTCATGCATGCACAGCGAAATTGTCAATGAAAAATATTGTAACTGTATTTCTCGATAAAAATGCTTTACGACAATCTTTTACTTGAAAGAGCGAACGTATCGGATAAAAATATCGAGATAAAAATGTATGTCTATATATGTTAATTTGAATATATAATTTTGGAATATAATTTAATTTTTATCGCGTAATTCTTCAGCAAGAGATTTCGCTTTGTAGATGTAATGTAATATTTTAATATATATTAATAATTTAATAATTTAATGATTTTAATTAATTTTCTTTTTCACTTACACGATTGAAAATAAGAAAATTATTTTATATAAACGTATTTGTTACATAATTAAGAATTACATAAATTTAATAAAACATTTGCAAAAATATTTAAACAAATTATTATTATTAATATTCGCGTACATTGATATTACACGATTATTTAATGAATACATGTTTTATACATGTGAGCTAAGTGATTTTATATTATATAAGAATCTCATATTACACATGAAGCCAGAGATTCTGTTCATTATTATTCATATTGCGTGAGATTCAAAGCCATAAAAGAAAATTCGCAAAAACGGGTTTATCTGAGATTTATGTGAAATTGCATAGTTCCAAAGAGATATCTTTTCCATGTAAAAACGCCGAATTTTTTTTCCAGTGATTTCCCTAGACGAGCTCTCGCTCAATCGATCTCTGCTTTAATTGCGCAAAAAACAAAACGTGAAAAAGATGTAGCATGCGAGAGAAAAATGTAGCAACTCAATTTCTTTTGTGAATGCCATATAAAAAGTGCAACTTGCGTACATATGTATTCAATTTTTTCTTTTACCATAAAAAAATATCAAAGTTTTTAATATATATATATATATATATACATATATAAATAAACGTATGCCTTTTTTATATTTTTAGCTTTATATTTGGCTACTATTATATATAATAAATTAATATAAGAAATTTCACATTAATGCAAATTTTTACATTAGAAGATTAGGAGGAATGCACAAAACTCTTTCCTAACCATTTCTTTAATATCTGTAGAATTTTATATAAAAAATAAAATAAATAGAATTTATATTGCTATATATCTAAAAATTAAAACATAATCAAATATTAATCTAAAATAAATTATTCTGAAGTTATTTCAAAGATAGAGTTTATGAAAATTCATGTTTATAAATCTATTGCCTAAATATATGCAAAAAAAGTGCGACAAAAATGTAATATTTTACGATTCTTTCGTAACGTTAGTAAATTTTATCGTCTTTCGGATATGTATATTTAATAATTTGTTTAAATAAGCTTTTGTAGTAAACATCGACTTTGAAATTTTTATTCTACACCGCACTTAAAATAGATCTTATTGACGTATGATTTAATGAAAACTAAATATTAGTTCACTATTCAATCTTATATTTTTTTGGATGTGATTAAACCGAGAATTAGAATTTAATCTTCTTTTTTTTTATTTTCGTACATACTAAACTTTGGATTGATAGATATAATCTAATAATGTTGTACAATGTTAAAAAATAATTTATAGTATAAACTACATATAATATAATCTATAATTTACACAAAAAGAATAATTATACAAGTGATGAAAGAAAGTTATTATAAAAAAAAATTTTGGAAAAATCATTAAGAAAGATATTATAATATTTGAAAATTCTTGTAAGCGTAACTTTGCGATGAGCTGTCGTAATACATTATGAAAGATATCTCTCTGTAAATTCCTTTCATTTTTCTCGATTCTTGTAGTAAATCCGAGTTTTTAGTATTGCGCCAAACTTCGCACATAAAAGTTTGGTACATCGATAAGCGTACAGTATAATAAAAAAGTAAAACACATACAACACATTTTACTGTCTTATTTTCGCATAAAACTGATAAAAATTCAAATATATTCAGTATTTCAATTAAATGTTAAAAATATTAGAATAAAGAAATTAAAATTTTATATTTTAATGTTATAAAATAATTAAACTTAATGTCTATAATTAACTAATATATCCTTATATGTATAAAACATTATTTCATTTCATAAAAACTTGTGAAAATATGTAATACTTTTATAGATTAATTAACAATTTTATTTAGAAAAAAATTGGTTTTACTAGAATGTTTACTTCATATCTTATAAAATAAAATATTGTAATTGACAGCGCGTGCACGCGAAAATTAATATTAATATATTAAATAAAAATATTTTTATTAAAAATATTTTTACGGCAAACTTTAAACGTTCTCGTTTCAATTCGTACTCGAAAGTGATTTTTTTTCTTCTTGTTTTATAAAATATAAAATACGAAACTATAAAAAATACATTCAATTAAACATGAGTGCAATGTTGACTTTAAATTTGTTTAATGAAATAAAAACAATTAAAATTATAATTATAGTTTTATAAAAAATGCTTAATAATTTAAATAAAATAAATAATTTAAATTAAAGCGTCAATAAATATTTTTTAAAGAACAAGTTATTATGCTAATATATAAATTTCCTTAGCTTTGTATATTATGTCAATATTTGTTGTTACTTTGATACTTTTTTTAATATGTTATTTATTTTAGAAGCGTAATATATTATACATATGTAAAAGTAAAAAACTAAAATTTTTATTACATTTTTTATTAAAAAAATCAAAATATTGAAACCAAAAATTATACGGCTAATTTTATTATTATTTTTCCACTTATCGCTATTTTTTGTATTGCAAAATAAGATTTATTTTACGAAACATTTTTTGAAATACCTGATTCATGCGACATTTCTAATCTTATATCGTAGAAAATATTAGTATTTCTCTTTTTATTACAGTTTATATCGTACGTCGCACATTAATCTTATCACGTCGTACGGGTAATCTTATCATTTACTGCAACGAGTAGCTTTATCCTTAAACAATTATTGATTAACAAATCAATCCAGATATCTACAACTACAATGATAAAGTTTAAATATTATAAATATTGAAGTTTTTTATGTAAAATTTATAACAAAATAATAATGTAAGATTATATATTTTTATAAATAAAATTATAAGCGTGCGCGCTCTGTATTTTTTTCATTATATGTCATTTTTCTGGTTTTTCTTTGATTAAAAATAAATGGTTTTACACAAATTAACTTTCAGTAGAAATTAATTATTAAAATGTAAAATTGTGATTTTTAACTAAATTAATTTTATTTAAATTTTACTTTAATAGGATTATAATATAAAGCTTACATGAATATAAAAGTATGTATCCATGTAAGAGTAAAACTCAAGAGTATTTAAAATAAATTACTCAAGGATATGTGTCTATTTGCGAGAATCACTCTTAAGAGTTACTTTCGAGTTTTATTCGCAGGTGGATACGCCTTCATATTGTAATATAATATATAATTTGTAAATTTTAAAAATAATTATCGATGTTTCCACTAAGAAAAAAGAAATAAATATAATGATAATTTTTCGTATATTCCCGTTTTTGATGTATCATTTTTTATTTCAGTATGATCTGTACGATAGTTTTTTGGGTTGTTTCATTTACATAATTTTTGAAACATTAATAATTTATGTAAAATTGTGCGTTTATCAACATAGAAATAAAAATTTATTTTTTTTATAATTTGATATTTATTAACTTTAAATAAATTTCGAAAATTAACTTACCTTAATAAAGAAATGTATTAGTATTTAAAAATTTTGGCATTTTTTAAATGTAGCAGTAGATTATTTTATTATTTTCCTAGCTTTGTGTTTCTTTAAAAATCAATATTTCTATTAAAGCTTGAATAATTCATCATTGATATATAAAAATATAAAGTAAATGCAATATTTATACGTTATTAAATAATTGCATCGCAATAAATTTATTTTGATTTTGCTTTCAAAAAAGACTTAATTTATTTTCTCTTATTGTTAAGAAAAAACAATAACAAACAGATTATTTTTAACTAACGTGCTAATACGCAAAAAGTATCTCACAATAATTTAAAAAATAATAATAATAATACAGCAATTACACATCATCCATAATATATATAGTACAGTCCACAAGTTTTAAGATTTTTTACGACAATATTATAACGCCATTTAAGAATAACCGCAAAACTATGCATCTATTATTCTTAGTTAATTGCGTGTAAAATCAAAAAGAATTTACAATTAGCTAATCTTGAGCAGTATAATGTTTTATACAGCTTGTTTTTTAAGTATGTCATTAATACAAAAGAAGAGCAATGTATTGCAATACAATTTTGGTTTAAAATTAACTTATTTTCACAAATGCTCGAAATGCAGAAATCTTACGGGAATTATATTAAACAAACATTTTTCTTTGTTAAAAAACAAGGCTTCACAAGAGAAGAGATTTTGTAGAAGATGATGAATGCAATAATTTGCCTATCATCAACTTAATAGATGATAACATTATCACGCATAAAAGAAAGTTTATGTATTATATTTCGTATAAGTAATAAAAAAAGTATTATATAAAGAGCTGCAAATTCATAGTATTCCGCATTTTAAATAATTTTAAAAAATATAAACTATGCGCATTTACTTCTACGGAGTTTCTTTCCTCACAAAACGTGGCATGTCAACGAAAAATTGTTCGCTCAATTTAATGTGTTATTCACATAAACTTTCTACACCATTTTGAGCTTTTGTGTGAGAAATAAACTAGTTTTAAAATAAAATTTTATTGTGATACGTAGCTCTTCTTTTATATTCATGACGTATTTAAAATACAAGCTTTATAAAAATATACTGCTCGAGATTAGCTAATCATAGACTTTTCAAATTTTGCACATAATTTTCTGGAGAAAATAAGTACATAATTTGGATTATTATTCTCAAATAACATTATTAGTGCCAATAACATTATTATTGCCACATAAAAAACAGTCTTAAAATTTTTGAACTGCATTGGGTATCTAATTATTGATTTTATGTCAGATAACGTATAATGTGCAATGTTGTAATATGTTCGCAAACAAGCATAGATTTTGTAATTTGGAAATAATTGTCAGTATTCATGATTATCAAAAAATGATATTCCTCTATATTCATAATTTGTATCTACAGATAAAATTTATTCTAGTACATAAAGATTTTATGCCTTTTTCTCTCTTTTCTCCTTTTCTGTCTTAAGGAAAAATCATACGGTTTAAGAAAATTATTGATTATTACTGGTAATTAAATAGAAATGATCAAATAATATAGTTATAGTAAAATTCTGGAAAAAAATGAGAATCAAACTTATCTGCTCTTTATATGTTATACTTAATTTAAAAAAAAAAAGATTTATATCAAGATTGAAAACTTGAAATATTATATAAATTTTGAAAGGATCTCGTTGTCTTTCTCTGAACTTTTACACATATAAATAAAATAGAAATAAATTTCTATAAATATAATGATCAAATTTGTAAAAATCTTATTCTTACACATAAGCAACTGTGAGTCTATATTATCATAATTACATGCAGGATTTTTATTGTGAATTCCTGTGATTCTTCTGCATCAGTCAATCATCTTGTTATATAGTTCGAATTTTTCATACCAACGATTTCTCAGTTCTTGGCGAATCTTTCGTTGAGTTGTCTCAGCATCGACATGAATATAATTTCATGTCACGCATTTCGCGGAACGATGTGTTCTTTCAAGGCGATTTCTCAAACAGGATTATCTTGGATTTGAACCCCTCTTACCGGAAAAGTCGCCGCAATTTGGACCGAAATCTCACAGTTGGGAACAGACACCAGATTAACGATGATCCAGGGAGCGGACATTTCACGGGCTTATCGGTTCCCTAACAGTCACCATACAATCAACAATTCAGTTCGATCTCTGACGGATTTTCGACAGAAATGGAACGCTAGCTATATGTACCTCTGTGGATTGCAATGATACAATGTCATGCTCTTCATGATCCTACGCAGTATTTGCTCCAGGCAACGACGAAACGTAATGCCGCACATGGCGTACAGCAAAAAATTGATGCTGAAATTCGTATAGTAGAGTAGCATGAAGAATTGCTGCAGACACCAGAGTGTCTCTGGTGTGTTCTTCCTCGCCAGAGTGAAGAAGAATACGCATAGACGAATCACGTAGCTGAAACAGAACGACAATTCGACTCATGACACAATTTCCGCGCATATTAGATTTTGCCAAGGAATATTAATCCTTTCGTTTCCACCGCACGTAAAATAGAATTGACATTTACTTAACAATTTACATTCATTAAGAAAAAATCGTTATAAATTTTTACTATTTATTGTAAAAGATATTGTAACAAGATAAAGTTTTGTTATATAAATAAAAAGAGTACATATAAATAAATGAAAATATTTGTAAGAAACTATCGAAAGATTTAGAAAATCTGAAGAAAAGAAACAAGAAAAAGTAAAAGAAAAAGAAAGGAAGGAAAGGAATGTAAAGAATTTACATGAAAAATGCTCACCTTGGTAAATTAAGTAATATAAAGACTGTGCTAATAAGTACAAGCATTTTAGTAATGCTTTCTTGATTGAATCTGGTCGATCCGAGATTCCGAGAAGATGACATAACGTCTGCGAAGTAGAAAACGAATTCTATTTACAGTCTTTATGCCTACTCGGCAACGTAAGAATAAGAAGTTTATTTTTACACAATAGAAAAGTATATTTTTTTACATTTGCTAAATACAAAATTTAATATAAGGCGATTTTGTAAAAAAAAAACATCTTCTCTCATCTTTCTCATTACTGTAACATTTTAAGTTTTTATGATATTTTTATGATTTTAATAATTTCAAACCAAGTAATGTCGCTGTAAATACCATGCAAAAAGCGGTGCTCCACAACGAGAAAGTATTATGTTTATCAAGAAAAAATTGTCCAAAAAAAACATTAACTTCCACATCTTTCCGTCGTAAAAATGCATAAAATTCCTATTTTGTGAAATATATTTTACAAAGACACCCTCATCAAATTTAAATCTTGCATCGCAGTGAACTTACGTATACACGGAGCTTCTATTTCGGTCATCTGCTGACAGGCATTTCGCGGTGTCGATGGTGGAACAGATGCAGATTGCCGAGAATGATTCTTAGACGAGTGGAAGGACAATTGTTGGGAGGGTGGTCTTCGTGTTCCATTTGCACCCACGAGTGAAACCATGTTTATATAACCAGCACCATTATTGCTGTTGTTGCCACTCTGAAAATAATTTTAATTTATGTTTTTTAATTTATTACTAAAAAATATTTTATTGCGTTAAAAGCTTTTCACTTTATATAAGCTTATATATGTTTATGAAAAAAAACTTTTGAATGAAAATCTGTTTTCTTGATTCATATTTTTCAGATATATGCAAGTTGCAAAGATGTATCTACATATATCTGCTTCACGTATTTTATATTCTGTAATATTAATATTTCTTTCTTAATATATCTTGCTTTCACAAATGCTTTATATTTTAACATTATTAATATTATATTAAGTATGTTTTATATTTTTTATATATAAGATTTTAAAAACTATAGTAATAAGTATTAGCAATTTTTTATTGTGCTCAAAAAATCTATTAAAATTATTTTTGTTAAAAAGCTATTAAGTTTATTAAGATTAACAATAGTGTAAACAATTAATAATATTATAAATAGCATTTATACAAAGATATTTTTTTCTTTCTTTAATAAATAAATAAATGTTATTCAAAGAAATAATTTTAACGGAATTAATTCTTTAACAGAATATATTTATAGCTGCACATAATAGTTTATTATTATATATATAATAAATACATATTATATATATATATATATATATATATATATAAATATAATATTATTTGTTAATATTAAATTAAGATCAGTTAAATCAAATTCATAATATACGCACATTTGACACATTCATGTTCTGTTTTTAAAATCTTAATGGCAAACTGATAATGTATCTGTTTATAAATCAATGATAAATTATTAAAATATAGACAGTAAATAACATACAAACGTAAGCACAAACTTTATCAGCAATGAGATACTAACTGAGTTTTAAACATAAATAAGCTGCACATAAAGTGCAGCATTATGCATTCAGATGACCTACAGTATAAAAAACTAAATGCATCCGAAGTTATTGCATGAAATGTGTCGAGTATATTTTTCAAAGCGTTTATTTCGCAAATATGCTTTACTCTATATGCACTTTTTATTTGCGAGTTACAGATATAATGAATAACGATGATTATGTATTTATTTTACACTGTATTTTTAAACAATTATGATCATTCTCATTAATAATTTTTATATCGTTTCAAAAATTTAAATTTGACAGTATTCTTATCATTATAATTTGTTTAATGAAAAACGCAAAAATTATTACGTAATATGATTTTACACTTTCAGTAATTTTTAACTATTAAGAAAGACAACAAATTTTTTATATATTTATTTCTTTTCTTTGCAGTTTTATTTTAAATTACAAATATATGTTTAATTTATATATATATATATATATATATATATATATATATATAATGTTTTAATTATTCAATTATATATATTAATTATTTGTATTCTTATATGTATATTTAATAGAAACAATTCATAAGAATAGATAAAATTATTTATAAAACATTTTATACACAATTGCTATATAAAAAAATAATATATTAATCAATATATCAAATAAAATATATATATAAGATATAAAAAACTCAATACGCGCAATAACAAAATAATTTATTGACACGATCTCACATTTGTATGAAGTAATAATACGAGTATTTAAAGAGTCCTTGGGGTGCCAATCATACTATGATAGCATATAAGTGCTCATTCTTTATATAGTACCATTTCTCTTCATCGTTTCCATCATTATCTCGTTCATTTGATAGATACGTGCTCCAAATTACAAACCACTATTTGCCTCATAGATAGATCATTTTCTTAAAATGATTATTATTTACCAATCAAAAACTACATTCATTGATATCGTAGAAATTACAATTATTCACTGTTTTTTAAATTGAAATTTCACATCAGTAAAAAGTTGAAATTTTATCGTGTTGCACTGATACCATTGAAATGCTCGTCGCGGGAACAAGTCGATTTCATCAGAATTTTAACTGCATTTCAGTTTTTATAATTCTATAGAAATTAAAATTTACTTCAGTATGTAATTAAAAAACATTTTTCCTTAAAAGATTTATGAAATTTTTCGTTAAATTTAATTTAATCAATGAATATCAACAAATAGCGTAATAAAACTAATTTAAAATGTTTAAAAGTAAAACAAATAATTATGTTAATAGTTAATACCTGTCATCAATCAAAACAAATAAAATATCGCATATCTTTGATATCTAAAACGTTGTTATAAAAAATTGTAACTAAAGTAATTAAACTAATAAATAAAATTAATACAACTAATCAAATTGTTTTTCTATATTTTTTATATCAAAAGTAATTTTTATTTTAATTATATCATAATACACTTATCATTTTCTTGTAAATTGATTATAACGTCATTGTTTTTTTGAGTTAAATATTTTATAAATATTTATTAAATATTTGTTAAATATTTATTAATTTTTTATTTTCAAGAATAGTGAACAACAACGTTGCTAAAATAAGACTTATCATCAATATTAGCCTTTAACTTAAATCACTTAAAGAATAACAAGCTACATACATTGGTGAGAATAAATTGACGAAGGACACAGTAAATCAATGGCAATTTCTTGTGACATTTCTATCTGCGCACTTTGAAAAATTATTAGTTCTACTTTGTGATAGACGTGAAGCAGTCATAAAATTTCATACGTCTCTTTTATTAGATAATTAATTGAATTAATAAAATATTAGTATTTTGTAATTAATAGTGAAACTCTTTTTTAATCTAAATTTTAATGATAAAACAAGTTAAATTATAAAATAACAAAATTGTACTATCTTTTTTCTTCTGTTTACGCTGATGTTTACGTTAATTTAATAATAGAGAAAAATAATGGAAAATTTAAAAAATGGGAAATTTTTTTAAGAAGGCTATTCAGCAAATATATCAACGATATGGAAATTACATACATTTTTAGCATCAATATGAATTTATTTTAATACCTAATACAAATATTTTTTTGGCATAAAGACTTTTAAATTTAATAACAGACAGTCCTTCATATTCTTTTGTGAATAGAAAGAATTTCTTCCTGCGATATGATGAAAAGATCGGAAATGAATCTCTCATCTTCTCATTTCTTCTTCTTCAGTGAATTTGATTTCATAAAGATGTCTATGTACTTCTTGATATATGAGATTAATTCTGATATTTAAAAAATAGAAGTTGATGATGTTTTAATGAAGATCAATGACAAAACTATCAACGATACAAAGTACTTAGAATACATCGCAAAGATTTTTAGATTGCCCCCACTGATAACATTTCTCGATAAATTGTGCAACAAAGAGTAGTTTGAATTATCACAAGTGATTTTAGTTAGTAAACCGATTATGATGAAACGCGGATAGTATCTAAATATCAAATCATGTTTTGCATCGTGATTCCAGATATACATATACCTCAGATACATATATATTCCAAATATGTACTCGCAACTACAACAAGTTTGATCTCGATAAATTCCTGAACAGTAATGTCATCAGTTCAATCTACATATCATTCGGCATCGCACCCAGAATCTAGCTAACAAATTTTCTTTAATGGAAATGAAGATCATATTACTTGATGTAGTGTTGCGATCTCGAATTTGATGCTAAGACTAGGATTTCCATGGTATTCAGTATGAAGGCTTAGTTCATGAGAGCGAGAGATAGTTTCTGGTTGAAACTGCGAGCGAGAAAATCGAAAGCTCCTATTGCACAGTGTTTATTGGATAATGTTAAGAATAGAGATCAAGATAGCGCAGACACTTATAAATTAATCTCAGCATGAAATTATATTTAAAGTAAATATTTTATAAATTAAACGCAGACATATGTTTCTGCTAAAAAGAACATAAAATAGGAAAGTTAAGAATAAAAAAATAAAACATTCAGAAAAAATTGTTTTGTAAATAATACGTATTTTTATTCTTTTTAAAACAAGCAAGACAAAATTATATGTTTATTTTGAGTATTAAAAATACTTTTTTAAAGCACAATTACATTTTTATCGATTCTGATATGTAATTTTTTTACTTTAAGTCTTCATTTAAATATATTAATTGAATATATTCTATATTAAAATTGTATGTATTATATAAATAATATTTATATACCTAAACAACACAAGCGTTTGCCACAAGCCATTGATATTGTTTTTATTATTTATTTTACAACTGTCAAATCTTCATTCGATGACATTTGCTTGATGCTATGAATATATGACCATAATTTTAATTGGCCAAATTTTTATAATTTACATAATTCTAAATTGCCGAATTTCTATTATGTACATACATAAATTTAATGCACAAATTTCCATTATGTATATAATTTTAATTTATTGAATTTCTATTATGTACATAATTTTAATTCGCGAATTTCCATTATGTATATAATTTTGATTTATTGAATTTCTATTATATACATAATTTTGATTTGCCGAATTTCTATTGTGTTGTTTAAGAACTATTTTGTTTATATGTAAGCATCTCTTTATATATTTTTTCTTGTTTTGTTTATTTTAATCAAATATAATTACGTGCGCGAAGCGAAGTTATATTATTCTTTGATAATAAAACCTTAAAAATTGCAACGCATGTATAAAATTATTATTGCAATCAATGCATAAAAAATATAATAATTATGCAACGCATAAAAATTTAATATTTAAATCTTTAACAGAAAATATAAACAAAAGAATAAAATTGTTTACAAGAATTTTTTATGATCAAATATCTACGCTTGCATTAGACTCGCGCGAAACTCCATACCTCATATATCTATCATGCTGCGCGGCTCGCGCGAAACTGATTTACGTGCGAGGTATCGCGAGCGCGAAACCGAGATCACGTGATCAGTGGTCCCTCTGGTCATGTGACCATCGGTCGGTCGCGATGCCCCGCACGAAAATCAGTTTCGCGCGAGCCGCGCAGCGTGATGGATGTAAGGGGTATAGATGAGTCTCTTGCAAGTCTAATGAAAGCGTAGATATTTGATCACAAAAGATTATTGTAGAAAATTTTATTTCTTTGTTCGTATTTTCTGTTAAAGATTTAAATATTGAATTTTTATGAATCATGTAATTAATAAATATATTTCTATGCATGCATTGCAATAATAGTTTTATGCAAGCGTTGCAATTTTTAAGGTTTCATTATCAAAGAATAATATAACTTCGCTTCGCGTGCGTAATTATATTTGGTTAGATTAAACGAAATATATATATATATATATATGTATCTACACACTACATAAATTTAATATGTATAAGCAGATTATTAATAGTAGAAAGTTACATATAACAGTAATTGTGTCGACTCAAAAATCAAACTCAGTTTTGTTATCAAGTTTAATTATGATAGCAAATTATTGTTAGTATAGTAAACTGAAAGTAAAATACTAATACAAATTTAAGAAATGCAATTCAATAATTTTAATCACAAAATAATGCAGATATAAATAATGCTACAGTATTATATTAAACACATTTTAATTTTATATTTTATATTTTATTATACATATATTATATATTTTAATTTTAATTTCCGAATTTCAATTATGTACATAATTTTATTCGCCGCAAGAGATAAATAATGTTATTTAATAGATATATAATTATATACAGTTAATATATAATATATAAATTAGATATATATAATGTAATAAAAAAAAAATATATATATATATATATATATATATGCTATTTTTTATATACATACATATACATTATATATATCGATAAGTATGTATAACAGACTTGTGTATGTGTAAATAGATTAATTGTTTAACTGATTGTTTCTTGTCAAGATAAAATTAATAACTTTTCCAAGGACGCAGATATAAAATATCGAGAGGCCCTATCATACACGACTATGACTTCGCAAAAATTTATTCTTATCGATTCAAGACTTGTTATTAAGAATAAGGTTAAATGTTAACTGCTGATGTATGAACTTACTTCTGTCAATATCATCATTTAGCTTTAAAATATTAACAATTTTTATTTATTAAATACAAATAAGAAAGGGTTAAGAGTCATACGCAGATGTTTCTTGCGTATATTTCCGACGAAATTAATTTTTCGTTGGAAATAAACGAAATGTGCACAAGTCACATATTATTCTTGGTTTACTACCAAGACTTTAAACCTGAAATATCTCATACTTGAGATTTAATTTCATAAATCCCTATAACCCCCTAAAGAAATAAAGAAATAAACGTGAGAGAAATTTTTATTTACTTTCAATATATTATATAGTAATTTCGGTATATATCTAAAAGCGTGGCCAATAATAAAGAAGAACGTATAAATCATGAATTATGATAACAACAATAATTATTTATTTCCTGCATTTTTGTGATAAGAATTGTGTTAAGAAATCAAACAAATGATAACTTATACAAAAACCATAAAAATTAAGAAGCCATAAGAAAAATAAGTTTGTATATAACATAAGTGTTATATATTTTTAATTTATATATTGATATTAAATAACAAACATATATTAAACATAATTAAATATTTAACCAAAAATTGTTATTATGTCACAAGACTACTAAATTATACATATATGTAAGACATTGTTAAAACTTCATACATCAACTTAACTTTTAACCCAATTCACTTAATAACAAGTCTTCTATTTCAATAAAAATAAATCTGTCAAGTCACAATCGATAGTAGCGCCTTTTGATATTTATATCTGTATATTTACAATTAGATAAGTTAAGCTGTGTTGCAGTATTCACTGCAGTACTGAAATGCTATAGTTTATGTTACATACACTGTAGATTGTCAGTACTGGCAGTAATCGGGGGATTATATTATATTGATGAACAAGGATCAAGCAGTCAGTTGTAAAATCTCGAGCGTAAAGCATGTGTCTTCTTGTTAAATAATTTATCGAGAATGATGAATGATCTCGATCAAACAATTAATTATTTTGTCAATCTGCGACAATTCAAAGTAAAAATTAAATAGAAGAACACAATTAACAACGATTTAAATTTTTCTTTCTTCATATTGTTGATAGTAGTCAAATATAATCGAACATAGAAATTGTTTCAATTGTGACGAACAACTACCAACAACATTTTCTTCTAATAAATTTTAAAAAATTAGCATCGTGATGGAGCTATTTACATTGCTCTTGACTATCCTCGCAGTAGGTATATGTTTATATTACTTTGCTTTAAGCAAAGTATCTCATTTCAAGCGGCTGAAGATTCCACATATACGACCGATTCCGTTTTTCGGTAACATGGCACCTTACATATTCCGACGTATTTCTCTTCCGGAAATCATATCCAGAGCACACAATCTTTTTCCGGAGGCAAAATATATCGGCTTCTACGATCTTACAAGACCAGTGTACTTAATTCGCGATCCAGAATTGATCAACTCAATTGCTATTAAAAATTTTGACAACTTCTGTGACCATCGTAATTTCGTGGACGACAGCGAGCCAATGGCAAGTAAAAATTTATTCGGTCTACGAGGCGATCACTGGCGCGAGATGCGAAAACTTCTCACTCCAGCTTTCACATCCAGTAAGATGAAGATGATGTTCGGACTTATGTGCGAATGTGCCGATAACTTCACCAATTTTATAGTGAAAGAATCTGGAAAGATTGGTAAGACATATAATATGAAAGAAATGCTATGCAGATACACCAACGACGTAGTAGCCACGTGCGCTTTCGGCATCAGCGTGGATTCGTTTAAGAATCCAAATAATGAGTTCTTCTCGCTTGGCAAAAATACTTTTAACTTCGATGGCCGGCTATCGCTTATGTTTTTCATACATTCTCATTTTCCGTTTCTCACGAAGCTTTTTAAGTTGAGAATGTTTTCCCCGAAAGTGGAAAAGTTCTTCAAAGATATCGTCTGCAGTACGGTAGAAATTAGAGATGAGAAGGGAATTGTTCGACCAGACATGATCCAATTGATGATGGAGAGCAGGAAGAATGATCAAGGACTTAAAATCGACATTGAAGAAATGACCGCTCAAGCATTCGTCTTTTTCTTCGGTGGATTTGATACTGTGTCAACAGCTATGTGCTTCCTAGTACATGAAGTCGCTACCAAATCTGATGTTCAGAACAGATTGAGAGAAGAAATCGATCAGGTCGTCAAACAAACCAATGGCAAGCCTACTTATGAAGCCATTAACAGCATGAAATACTTAGATGCGGTTTTGAATGAAACTCTCAGATTGTATCCGGTAGCAGGTTTTCTTGACAGGCTGTGCGTGAAAGAATTCGTATTGCCACCGGCAACTTCGGGTGGCAAATCGATCACATTAAAGCCTGGAGATGGCATATGGATTTCAACTTACGCTCTACATCACGATCCTAACTATTATCCGCAGCCGAACAAGTTCGATCCCGATAGATTTCTGAATAACGAGGTATACAATTCGGTCTACGTTCCGTTTGGTCTTGGACCCAGACTTTGCATAGGTAACAGATTCGCTCTACTGAAAATGAAGATTATGTTGTTTCATCTACTATGGCATTGTGATCTTGAACTTGACGCTAAAACCAAAAATCCCATAACACTGGATAAATGGTCATTTGTCACAATGATGGAGGGAATTTGCTGGTTGAAGTTGCGAGCAAGAAAATCGAAAAATCTGTAGAAGAATGTTTATTAAACAGAGTTGAGAACAGAGATTAATTATATATATACATATATATGAATAGCATACGCATTTTAAGCCTGACATTATTATATATCTAAAATAGGCATTCTTATCAAATATATAGGGTTTTTCTAGTATAAATATTTATATATAATCTAAAGAAATTAAAATTATCAAAAATAAAAATTTCTGAAAATTATTTTACACACTTATATATATATATATATATATATATGTATATGAATCTTTATATATCTTACGTATGTATATATATTAGTAGTACATGTCTTTATTTTTTTAAAGAAAAAGAAATATATATTTTTTTAAATATTAGAAATGTTCTCATAACATATAATTAATATAAATTTTCATATACAATTGTTTTTCGCTCAATTTTTTATGTTATTTTAAATACGCATCCCCACCCGTTTTATAAGTAATATTAAATGTTGATTTTGCATTACTATTATTTGTTAAAAGATATGTTTATAATAAATACATTTATATATTAATGACAGTTTGATAAAGAAAAGTTTTATAGGTATGTTGTAATATTATACATACGCATCATTTTGCAAAACATAAATAAATTATAATCTTAACATTTTAACGCATATACATATATATAGAGATGTAATAATAAAAATATGAGGACTGATTCTGTTAGAAACTTTCTGTAGCAAACCTTATTATTAGCAATAAAACATATAGGCTGTGTTCCCTTTGAACGCTTTCAGCGCTATAAGCATCTTCTGTTTTCGTTTAATATTCAATGTGCAACAAAGACAAAAGATGTTTATAACTGAAAACGTCAAAGGGAACGCAGTCTTTATCTCCTTCAAACTACTCTCCTTCCATGTTTATATATTATTATATCAGCGATTTTGCCTTTGTTGAGAATATTTTTATATAAATATTTTTAGAGAAATTTTTCACAATGTTTTTTCAAATACTCTATCATATAATATTCGTTTAAATCATCTCAATGTCGTCAAATATTTTCCCTTTCAGCATCATTTTCAATTGAGGGACCAGCAATCTTAAGGAGTCAGGTGAACAGTTGTTGAATCACAGGGATGCTGTATTTTGTCAAAGACTTTGTACGGAACCGGGGTTGGAATAAGAGAGCATTGTCATGATGCAGCGTTTAGGAGCTAGTTCTTTATTTTTCCAGTCTCTTGCGTCGAACAGCGTTTTTCAATCACTCTCTTCAGCACTTTAATATAATATTCCTGATTCACTGTTTGTCTTATAGGAACGTATTCATGATGCAAAAATTCCTTCGATTTCGAAGAAAATGGACGTGGATCTCGGATTATGGACTATCATTCTCTATCGATTCTCTTCCTTCTTTGAATCTTTTATGCCATTTGAAAACGATTGTACGACTCTCTCTCTCTCTCTCTCTCTCTCTCTCTCTAAAGCATTCTCGGCGTTAATTACTTTTTACATTTCAAAAGTTTTCATACTATTTTTACCAACTAAACACAAAATTTAATGTACACGCGCTATTATTTTTTTTCATTGAGCAAATTCAAATGTGATGAACAATGAAAACACATGTTGCTTTGCTGAAAGGGCATAATGATCTCGGTTTTTGTTAGAAGAGAAATGTTAAATAATATTTCGACAAAGAGCCGAGTATCTATCATATATATTAATGAAGTTATAAAACCAGTTCGCGCATTTTTTTATTACATTTCATATAGTCATTGTTAATGTTTTGTTTAAAAATTCTGCCTTAATTTGTTTTATACTTTCTATGAACGCCTTATAGGTACTACATTTAATATTTTTATGTTATTAATGTTTTTTTCGAATATATCATTATTTGTTGATGGATCAAAATTTAAATTAAGTTATTGCTTTCTCATATATGGTAAGAAAAAACACTTTTATTCGCGCACGCATTTATCTTTTAAAATTTTTTTTATTACGTTATTCTTGTAATTTTATAATAAAACCTTAATAATTTAAATTTACTAGTCTAAAATTAATATAAGTTTTAATTTACTATATTATTTAATCAATAATATTATATATATATATATATTATAATATAAGATTGTAATAATAGTTAAAATAATTAAATATCAATTTGAACATTCTATTGCATTGTTCAAGAATAAAATCTTCAATGTGACATTAATATGTGACATAAAAGCTATATATATATGTATATGCATTTACATCATCAAATTAACCTTTAACCTAACTGAATTAATGAATGACGAGCTTCGTACAATAAAAATAATTTTGCAAACAGTTAACACAATGATAGCGAATAGAAAATCCTTCAGATAATTTATCTGTGACGTATAAATCAATGCAGTTAAAAAGAAATTGCTTTTGATCAGAAGTAGCAGTCAGTCTTTACAGTTCGCGCATGATAGACGTATCTAATAAATAAAATATAGTAGTTGGAATCGAAATAGCATCTGTTGATTGTGAAAATTTCTTTCTACTCTTGATAAAACCAAAGGCGATAAAAACTAATAAATTTTTATCGCAGTTTTATCTGTTTATTTTTAATTTCTAATTTTGTACGCAAGTGATTTTAGTATAAAAATCGAATATAGAAACTGTTCGTTATTTCGACAAAAACTATTATATAATATTATAAACAGCAAAACATTACAACATTTTCTTCTGACGTATCAATTGAAAAATCAGAGCAATGGACCTCTCTAATTTAATTTTGATTATTGTCACGGCATGTCTATGTCTATATCATTTTATTTGGAGCAAGCTGTCTCATTTCAAGCGGCTGAAGATTCCACATGCACAACCGATTCCGTTTTTGGGAAACATGGCGCCTTTTGTCTTCCGACGTTTGTGTCTGGCAGAAAACATTCGCAGAGTATACAATCTGTTCCCGGATGTGAAGTATTTCGGTTTCTATGAGTTTATGACGCCAGTCTATGTGATCCGTGATCCGGAAGTAGTCACCAGCATTGCCATCAAGAATTTTGACAACTTCTGCGACCACAAAAATCTAACAAACGAAGAACTCGAACCGCTCGTCAGTAAAAATCTATTCGCCTTGAAGGGCGATCATTGGCGCGAGATGCGGAAGCTTCTCAGTCCTTCATTTACATCCGGGAAAATAAAGATAATGTCCCAACTAATATCTGAGTGTGCAGAGAACTTGGCCGATTTCCTAGCAACTGATTCTGGAAACATCGGTAAGACGTACGATATGAAAGATATGCTGAGCAGATACACCAACGACGTAGTGGCCACATGTGCTTTGGCATAAAAGTGGATTCGTTCAAGGATCCAAACAACGAGTTTCTTCTTCTCGCCAAAGAAGTTGCTAACTTCATTAATGTCCCTATCAAACTCTTAATAAATAAAAATTTTCCGTTACTTGGAAAACTTCTCAGATTGAAAATATTTAGCCCAAAAATAGCGAGTTTCTTTAGAGAGATTATTGCTGATACAATAAAGACTAGGAACGAACAGGGAATTATTCGCCCGGACATGATTCAACTAATGATGGATAAAAGAGATATAAATCAGAAGCTTGCTCTTGATATCGACGAAATGACTGCTCAAGCATTCATCTTTCTCGTCGCTGGATTTGATTCGACATCAACAGGCATGTGCTTTCTGACACATGAAATCGGAGTTAATTTTGATGTTCAGAACAAACTGAGAGCTGAGATTGACGATGTTCTCACTCGGTCAAATGGCAAGCCTACTTACGAAACCATCAGCCAAATGAAGTACTTGGACGCTGTAATAAACGAGACTCTCAGATTGTACCCATTGATAGGTTTTATCGACAGATTATGCGTCAAAGAGTTTGAATTACCACCTGCGACTCCGGATGGCGAATCGATCACAGTGAAACCTGGAGATAACATTTGGATCCCGCATTATTCTCTGCATCGCGATTCCAAATATTATTCGCAACCAAACAAATTCAATCCCGATAGATTTTTGAATAATGAAGTAGATAATTCCGTTTACATGCCGTTCGGAATCGGACCCAGAATTTGCATAGGTAACAGATTTGCTCTGACAAAACTAAAGATCATGATATTTTATCTGCTATCGCGTTGCGAACTCGAACCCGCTATTAAGACTACGATTCCCATTGCATTCAGCAAAAAGACTTTTTTGATGGTGCCGGAAGGCGGTTTCTGGTTAAAATTGCGAGCGAGGAAATCAAAAGCTCCTGTTACATAATCGAATGAAAGCTTATCGAATGAAAGCGAATGCAAAAATTAACTATATTTGTAATTTTATTTCAAGCATGGAATTGTATTTAAAATACAACTTTTAAAGTGGTAAATTCATATATGTACAACTTTTTTCCAATATTTTTTAAAACATTTGATATAGAAGATTCAATATTGCAAAAATATATATATTTATTTTAAATACTGAAAATATTTTTATGAAATACATCAGTTATAATATTATCAATTTTGACGTATTCTTTTTTGTGTTATGTATATCTTCATTTATATGTAGACAATTTATATATTTTATATGCATTGTAATATTGTGCAGAATATATTCTGTGTAATATAAATAAATTAACATTGAATGTTTCAGCCTAGGCATTTTAAAATGAGTAGAAACACTGTTAAAGCGAGTTATTATTTCATTCATTTTTTAACTATATAAATAATATAAATTATATTTGCAGTATATTGAATATATATATGTGTGTGTGTGTTTGTAACAAAAATAACACATTTAAAAATTTACTTATTAAATTTATGCTATAAAAAAATATAAAGTAACGATGATAAAAATCTGCGTAAAATGTTCTAAAAAAGAGATGAGAGTATAAGTCATTATAATAATATAATTATACAATATTAATTCGACAATTTGTAAGAAAATCAATAAATCAAAGATTATCAAGTTTTCCTACAAAAATACTTAAACATCTCATATGTGTATTAATTGTTGCGATTAATTTACTTATGTCTTTTTTGAATATAATATCTAACAAAGAATATAATTAATGAAGAACGTGATTTTATAATTGATTTGAGAACTATGTGTAATAGATTAAATAATTTTTATATCAACATTGTTAATCTGCATATATGTACAAAATAAATCATATATATATATATATATTTTATTAATAAAGTGGCATGCTTATTTATTTATTAGTATAACAAATAATTAAACGCAA